TCCCCACTTCCAAATCTCCCATGTATCGAGAAATGCTCCCAAAATGGAAAAAGAAGCATCCAAAAAAAGTGGCAAGCTGGATGGGGAGTAGGAAAAGGAACACACACAACAATAGTGGTCCTATCCCACTAACAGTCAATACAGATTGTTAGTGAGGGGAAAGGGTAAGAGGATCATCCAAGGGATTTTGAACAAGACAGCATCTGGTGATTCAAAAATCCACAGAGGATGGCACATATTGGCCTGACTAAGAGGAATGAGGGCTGCGAGAAAAGCCCATGTCCCCACATGAGAGAGAACTTCACAAGCAATAAGGAAAGGGAGAAAATGAGAAGTTGCCTAAAGAACATACTAGAACTCTAAACCGAAGGGGAGAAGGATGGGCCTAACCAAGAATTGAGAATCAAGATGAAAAACGTAAGAAGAAAACTAGAAATTGACTGGTGTGATGAATGAAATCCCCACCGTGACGAACCAACTCATACAGGCAGCTTCCCAAAGAAGAAACTGAGTATGGAGAGTAGATATGGCCACTGAGAAAGCTGTAAGTATCCAGCCATTCCTGGCAAAGTGTATACTAAGCTCAGAAAAGGAAGCAGGCAAGCAAAGGTCTAGATCTCTTGGCTGAACACAGAGGGAGTTGAGGCAAGGCCAAATAAAAACCCCCTAAACAACACACACACACACACAACCCCATGAAGAACAAAATAAAGAAAAATGTCTGAATGATGGGAAAAATAGGAATATGGAGATGTCTATCCGACACAACGACCTACGTCATCCACAAAATGGGAGTGAAAAACCTATAACAACCCTAGTCCCCAAGTAGGCAGGAAGCCACTCAACACCTTGTGATAGAAAAAAAATGCCATGCACTATGCACGTAAAGAAGAGGAGGGTAAAAGAACCCTAAAGAAAACAGGATCCCAACCTAGAAGAACCCAACTACAGAGCAGCCACATCTGTAAAGTGAGGCTGAAGTGGAAATGCATGCCACTGTAGCAAAAAGAAAACAACTATGACCAACAGAAAATCAAAGAATGAAACTATAGGATCATCCCAACCCAAAAGGCGAAGGATAAAAGGAGGATAAGATACAGACAATAATGGATAACATAATAAATGAATGGGAAAGTTCATATGTAGGAAGCAACTGAAGCATCAGGGGCTGAACCCCATTGGAAGAAAAAAAAATCCAAAAGGTGTGAGGCAAATTAATGGTAGGTGGAACAATAAAAGCAAAAACATGATAGGTCAACATATACAGGGGGACAAAGCATACCGACCCCCAAATGCAAGAGTACCCCAAAACAATGAGCATGAACTCCATTATCTAGGTATGAAGGAAACACCAAAGAGAGCATGAGTAAAATCAAAGAAAAAAGGAGACAAAGACAAATATTAACATACCAGAAGAAGCAATGGCTACAAAGGGCAACGGAGGCCTAGGTAAAAACTCCCAGAACAACACATAAAAGAAAAGCCCATTTTGGAGGGAAAAAACAAACTGTCCTAAGTCACATCCACCCATTCAGACACATCTAGGTGCTGGTATGACAGGCTACTCAACAGGTTATACAGAATGTTGCCAAAAATGGTATGATTCTCAACAGAACGTAGCTGCCAACTGTGTTTTTGTCCCCACAAATGTAAAATCTGCTGTAGCAGCAACAGCGGTAGTATTCATGACCACCCACAATTATGAGTGCATAATTCACAAAGTCAAAAACAAAAAATTTGAAAAAGGAGAGTAGATAATGCAATTTAAATTGTGATTCTCAACTAAAAAAAAGGAAAGACAGCAGTGACTAAATTAGAAAACACATGGATGTAAATTCACTGATAAATCTTTTGTACAAATACTTTAATGAAAATTCTGATTTTTGTGTATAATATACTTGTAATGTTTACTAAAAGTTTACCAAATTTCATTTTATTATATTAATTAGAGATATAATGTTAGAGTTACCGAGTTTAATTCAGTTCACGTATAAGGCATAAAGTCTGAGACAGACTAATCTGTTGATAATTTCAGTCCCACTGTTAAACCACCTGGGGTCTAATTGCATGCAACATTACAGTGAATGAATATCTGGAATATGGGAATTGATAGCCAACACAACTTAGATCTGCAAGCAGCACCAGAGTGCCATATATACATACTTAGTAGACTGACATACTGTTGTTACCAGAGGGTTTAAAAACAACATGGAAATATCTAGTTACTAATTCTTAGAAAGGCCATCAAATCGTCATCAAAATCCTGGAAAGCTGTAGAAATAAGGCTTGCCTATCAAACCAAATAACTGTTATCCTCATCAATAGGTGGTTATTTTCATGGAATCAGTGTTGCTGAGTTTACAGCTGATATATGGGAAAGCTTTAAAGATGGTCAGAACACCCTGGCAGTAGCTTTAGATCTGATGCCTATGACAGAGTACAGATGCCCAGTGTAACATTGGTCATAGCTGCATTAACTACCAGAAGATGCATAATGATGCATGGAACCAGAAAGTCAGATGAGGTCACCATTAATACTAGCTTGCCTCAAGGATCATCACTCTCACCAACCCTTTTCAACATCTACACCATGCAGTTAGCCTACCTTCACAGACTAAATACATGTTGTGTGCAAACCTTTGTTGATATCTTGATGTACAGCAGAGGTTTTCACAAAGCTGAAACAGTGAGATAATGACATATAAATGGTTATCAATTCTACCAAAGTTATGTTATGCACACTCAACTACAGACACAATGATGAAGACAAGCCATCACTATCCTTTACAGGCAGTACCATTCATTTGGAAGAAACTCTGAAGTACTTGGGGGTTAACTTTTGATAGACTTCACCAACCACATTAACAACATGATAACCAGAATTACCAAAGGCATCGATGCACTAAAATGCACAACAGGAAATAGAACTAAGAATGTCACCTGCTTATGCACCTACATGAGATTGAAAAGTTACAAAACATGGGATGTACTTCAGCCATCTCCATTACACCCCAGCAGCATCACAAAGCACCAACAGTACTTAAAAGCAAAATTCTGACTAGAATTTTGCAGTGTAAAGGCCATGCATTCTATCATCGAGCCACTACTCTTTCAACTGGGACACAACAACCATTCAGATGCCAACCAAGCAGAGGAATACCTATAAGTTGTCTCAGAACAAGACATGAGTGGGCAAGTGCTATACATCCACCATTTAAATAATTGATTACCAATGGATCTCAGATACCTGCATGTGGAATAGAAATCTTGCACCACTGGTACCTCTAGAAATCAGTCTAGACAGAAAATTTAGAGATTGAGCAGAGGGTAAAGCAGAGAATTTAAAGACCCTGGTGGATAGTCACCTGTCATCATGTCACAATGGCTCCTACTACAAAAATATTGAAAAAGCTATTTGGGCATTCATCATTTCATGGAGTAACAACATTCTGCATAAGGCTGGTGGAACATTGGAGCTTCCCACAAGCACCACAAAGATGGAGCTGAAAGCTATAAAGCAAGCTCTCCCCTGAATTGCTGGCAGCAATAAACTGTAAATAGATAGTGCTACCAACATAATATTTGCCACTTGTTCACAGTTAGTACAGCTTAAAATTCAGTGGTTGGTCCCCATATTGACAACAGAAAGCAAAGCAACAGCAGAGTAAGACCATCTCCTACTTATATGTGAAAGACTAAACTAGGAAGCTAACAAGCCTGTAAGGGAAGCCCTTATATCAAATCTAGCACACTTCTACTGGCAGGATATCAACTTCCTCTGTACTAATATGGTGAAAACAGCAACTATGAAAGGTCATCATTGATATTCAGATGCAATAAGACTGTTTAAAAAGAAAGTACCAAAATGGCCAGCTGAGAAAAACACAACATGGAAAATCAATAAGACAGTATACAGCCAGAAATTCTAGTTTTAAAAGCCCTCTAGCTTATTGCTAGGCCATCAGGAAAACAACAGTATCATCTAATGATACTCCGGTGATGGAAATAAATGTATTAGAAAATACTTGGTAAAATTTGAAAGTCAAAGCTAATTAAGTGAGTTACAAATAAAAGAGAAAAAATATTCAAAAATGTAAATTTTTATTTTACATTCTACTTATTTCTTCATAAAATTAAAATTCTGTAAAAAAAACTTACAATTTGGCAAATAGTATAAGATATAAAGTTTACTTTAAATCAAATAGAGATGTGTTAAGTAGATATTTTGTAAATAGCATTGTGAAATGATAAACAATCCTGCATTATTATATTTTTAAGCATCTTACTACTGTATTATATCCAAACTGGCCTGAGGAGCCTTGATAAGGGACAAAATGCCTAAATGGCATTAGATATAACATATATGGTGCAGTTGACAAATTGCTGTAAATTCTTCTTTAATTTCACTCCTAAGTTCTTAGAATAAACAGTAGGTTGTGTGAAAACATCAAATAGATTTGCTTTAAATCTATATATAAAAAAAGAGATGGTTAAGAAGTGTTATCAGATATTCCTCCAATGCAAATAAAATTTTCTAATAAATGAAATCTAATAAGTCATCAATAAGCTTTTGATGCTTAATGAAAATATATGTTACCAACCAAAAGGTTAAACGCATGGAATCTGAGGTAAATAAAACATTACTCTTCATATTTCAAGTTAAAAAAACTGATACACACAATTTGATTTCTGCTATTCTGTTTACTGATTTCAACATCCACTAATAAATTTTTATAATTTCATGTTTGTTCAATAAAAGAGGACCATTTCATAACACAAAAAAATAATATATGTCATTCTAGACGTAAAGAAGAATTATATATATACAAAATCACTAAAATAATCTCACCTTACTATGTCAGTCCCAAAACTGAAACTACAATTAGTTAATTCAGTACAAACAAATTGAAATTGAAAAACAAACAAACAAAAAAAAAAAAAAAGAATTACACAATCTTTGGAGAATCATACGTCAGTATGAGAGCAAAGAAATACTTTACCCTTGGGTATAAAATGGATCTATCTGTGCTGGTGATGTTAAAAGCTTGCTGGCTTGACCTTGATTCATGCACTTAGTAGGTGTCAGTACTCTGGTATTTTGTATTTGACCTGTAACAAAAATCATGAATTTCTCTATCAAAAAATGTATCCATCTGTTAAAAAAAATGTTTTAAACTCTTTTACATTAAACTTTCTGGTGTCAGTCAAGTTTATTGCCCGTATAGAACATACAAAAAATATTGTATTTTAAGATACCCTGATTCTTATCTTCAAAATATGTGTGTGTGTCTATATAACACATTAAATATACACATATACATACAGAGGTTGAGTATGCTATATGAAAATGATTTTAGAACTTCACCAAGTCACAATGCAAGGTCATGCTCTATCTGATGACCATACATTTTGAAATTAGTCTTCAGCATAGCTTTTATTGCCAAAGGCTCAAACACAAAAATGTCATGACCAAAGCACTTTTCAACAGACCCATATCACAGAAATCTATAGGCAATGTATTTGTCAACTTAACAGATATGTCTTTGGATGGTATAGCCTGAATAATTTTCATTCTCCAGCTGCTTGAGGTATGTGGCAGTTAAATTACCCTTTTAGAAATAAGTTAGAGAATGTTGATTTCCAACTAAAACTATGGACATATTCCATATAGGCAAAACAACAATGGCCCAAATTGAAAATAAACCTAGATCTAGTTTATAATAACCTACTTATTATTTCACAATCCAAACCACAGCAACTTTTAAAAGGTGATTACAACAGCTTTTGATGTATTACACTTGTATTTCTTAAACTTCACACACAATTTTCATTTCTATAACTTCCATAGTGTGAAATTTATTTTCTTTTAACATAATTTTACAAATATTTAGTTATTTACTGTAACATTAAACCTAGTTTTGAAAAATAAAATATATTTCCTAAATGCTTGAATTGCAACTATCAATATCAATTCACGTCATATATGAATGCAAACTCAGACATTAACCCTTTCATTACTGCCTCAGTGGATTACACTGGCCACGTGACCCCAAAGATCAGAGCTTAAATAATATAACCTTTACCATATTTTGTGTATCTTTATGAACATTTTAAAGCTTTTAGTAAACATTCCTAATCTTTTGTATACAAAAAAATAAGAATATTTTACTAAAAATGTGTGCATTAATATATGGAGTCAGAGTATTGACTGCTCTAAGTGCAAAGTGATTTTTAATTTAAGGTTAAAATACTTTTTTTGCATCTGAAAATGACAAAATTTGTGTAATCTCTGAAACCTCGTAAATAAATATCAAAGGTTTTTCACTAAAACTTTGCTTTATCTGTTATAAAACAAAATAAAAGAAATAGTACATTTACACTTTATTTAATGTTTAAGTAGCCAGAGTTAGTGGATGGTGCTGTCAATCAGTTGTCTTCCCTCCAGTCAGCAGTTCATAATGACATTAGCAGATAGCCTTAGTAGCTTTGCCAAAACAAAGTCATGGTGAACAAATTTGGTGGCAATGGGAATGAAATCCAAGACTCTTGAATCACCAAGCTATGCTGGCCCAAATCTGAACAAACTTGAGGTAACAAAAAACTTATAACGTTAAAATTGGATTTTGATACTCACCAGTAGAGAGACAGCCCATTATGTAATTTTGTACTTAACAACAAACAAACATAATAGTAATATTTTGATTACTTGGATAGTCAATCAAAAACAGTAATAATTACAACAACTAATTTCAATTAGTTATTTTTCTGAGTATTGATTTAATCATAATTTTGATTAATCAATTATTGGAATAATGAAAAAACAGTCATAACTGGAAACAGTAATTTCATCGTAAATTTGTTTAACTCTTTCCATATGGGTTCAGTCATTTTGACAGACCTAATAACCACTAGGAAACCATTAAAGTATCCATACTATAACTTTTAGTGTGGTACAGGTATCTTCAAAAACTTGACAGCTTTTAGTATACATTACAAAATAATTTTCATGTTAAGATTAAAAATACTTTTTCTCATATCAGTTTTCAAATTTCATTTGCTTAACCTCTATATCAAATGTTTTTTTCATTAAACTTTTATATTTTATTTGCTCTAGCTTGACCAACCCTTTTTTTTCTTCCTAGAATGACTGACGATTTTCACAGAAAACTACAATTCTTTATCCTAAACAGCTTAAAGCTCATAACATTCTATGTCCAATTCTACTTAATTTTATGGCTTTATTGTCCTTTAAACTATGTCTGACTAATAATCCCACAATACAAGCTATAAATCACTTGGGAACATATAGATCAAGTTACCATATTGAGTATATCTTATGCAGAAATTGTAATTCTTTTTATTATCTTATCTAATCTAACAAGTTTCTAATTTTTACATTTTAGTTACTTTTATAACAACAAATAAAAAATACACATAAAAAACAAGGAATTCACTACTTACATTTGGTCTTGTTCTTTTGCTGTTGGCCAACCAATGGAACTTAAGCCTACTTTTTGTTTGTTTGAAGAATTCACATAAAAAGACAATATAATAACCTGCACAAAGCAAACAATGTTTTATAACTAATATAATTTAATTGGCTTTCTAACTAAGGCATAAGTGCCTTAAAATAATTCTCTTAGCTACTCAATCCAAATTTGGTGATAGAAACTTTAAATCTGTACACGAAATAGCTAAAGATTTCTACTGAGAACAACGTATCATTATATGTCAGTTGCTAAATTAAACCTTTGTCTTTCTATTGGTTATATATGATATAATAACAAATGTCAGAGAGAATTAGCACATCAGCACCTCAGAGAGGGGTGATGAAAAAATAGTGGATGTTCAAGTCAGAGGGAACAAATATCACAAACAAGGAGAGTTTAAGAATTTATTTAAATATTTTCTTTTAAAATTAAGAAATTCAAACTTATATAGTTCAAAATTTGATTTATGAAATATATTTTGATGCCATGTTTATTTAAATACGTTGATCCACCCAAGGAAAGAAGATTAATCGATTGTTGGAATAACTGAAAACAGTAATAATTGGAAAAGCTAATTTCATATAGTATATTAATCAATCAATTTAATTGTAACTTCAATTAATCGATTACTTTATGTAACATTAAGCAATGTAGTGACTGTTCATGGGCAGTTTTGATTTATTGGTTAATTGCCCAGCCCTATTGTGAAGGATTTTCTCAGAAATGTTGTCATAAACCAACACCCTTTGTAAGTGCAAGTGTTTATGGTCAGTAATTATCACCTAATTTCCTGTTTTGATTGACCCATATTTGATTCTAGCAAAATCATGTTTCCATGCAAAATGCATGTTTCTTATATGAAATAGCCATTTAGAGTTGGTATGTAAATATAAGGATTACTGATTACATTTTCAGTTGTTATCATTTTTTTACATGAATAATTCAGATTGTTGATGTCTCGAGTAACAGGGGTTCACTGTACAGTATATATCATATATATGTAAGCAAAAATATTGAGTACAAACATCTAAAAATAAACTTTTTTTTTACATAAACAAATTTTAAAAGCAAATAAAACAAAATAATTTACACATAATCAAAACTCAAGTTTGGATTATGTAAACTTTCCACACTTAAATCTTCTTACATAAAATAACTTAAATTATCTGAATTATTTTGCTCAAATTTTAATTTCATGCCCTGAGCTGTACAAATGTAAATACTTTTTATCAATATTGTTTACAACAGAACTTTTTATTTCTAACCACTTTTATCATTTCTAAAATCTATCAATTCCACTCTATATCTCGATGTTTACTGTCCACTAATCATTTTTCTGGTCACCAAATAACCTAACCCTTATATTAATTCTCATCAAGATAATTTAAACTGTACTATTATTTCACTATAATCAAAAACACAATTTAAACTAGCAAACTCGCCAACAGGCTCAAGATTAGGCTTGATAAGCATTTCACTTTGGGAAATACTTTATGTATGTATGAATGTATGTGAATATATTTCTTCTTCAAAATTAATATTTTAAGTTATCAAATTAAACCACAGAATCAAAATAAAATTATGTAGCCAAAAATACCAAGAGCATAAAACAATTTCAACTAAATAAAATGGTTAAACCTACCTTCTGGAGAAGGAGAACTGAATAAAGAAGTGCAAGGAACCTATAAAAAATACATCAGAATTAAATACACTGAATAACAGAGCTTTATACATCCACAGATTTCATATAATTATAAAAAAAATTAATACTGTATTAATGTTGAATGAGAGATCTGCTAGACTGAATAATTAATTTAAAAGTACAATAACAGCAACTTTTGCTGTGAACAAGTTCTGATTTTAGTGATTCAACCTTGTTGATGTTGCAGGGATAAAAATTAATTTATGTTAATCACTGAATGGAAAAATGTTAAAGTCTGGCATAGGATAAAGATACAATAGATAAATATGCATGTGCTTCTATACTTGACAGTCATTATGTGTCTTTATATTCACTATCCTACTAAAAGATGCATAATGCTTTTCATCGTGTTGTATAAATGCCAAAGCTTTCATTGACTAAGTTCAGACTAACAGCTGTATGCAACAATGGCTTACTTGTACATGTACTATACTCAGTAATTACATTATGAAAAAGATTACATTATTAAACAGCTAAAAAACACAAAAACAGACTTGTTCTGATATAAATAGTATTCTTTATTCAAAAAGTTAAACAACACAATTATTAACAAAATAAAGTAATATCTCAATACCCAATATAAAAAAGGAGATCAGCATGAGTAGTAACAAGCTCATGGCTGTCATCTTGTTTCAAGCTCTCACTTAAAGTAACGCTTAAGGACCAAGTCATATGTGGCTTCTGAAAGCTGTGTTGAAATGTTCATTTAGAGACTACTGGTAAACTGGTATTTTACTTCCTAGTCAGATGAGGGTATGATCATGATGTGAATGTGTAAAATCTGTGATTCTTACATACAGTTAACTTTTTATACTAATTTTTAATACACCCAAACTAAAAATACGGAGTACAAGCCTGAATATCAAAGGTCCAGCATATATTCAAAAGTATATTGGCTATGGTTTTAGGAAGAGAGCCACATGCAATCAAAATGGTTCCAACACTTTCAGCAGAAATAATTCAAGAATAATTCCAGAACTTCTCCAAACATTTTTCATGAATTTCAAAGTATATTTTTAAATTTTGGGGTTCACAACATTGGCAGATCTGAGGATGGGAGCCCCTTATCCCCCCTAAAACCCAATAAGCCTTCTACGTCCACCTTACATGATTAACAACCTCTGAATTCACCCCTGCATGAATACCAATGGCCACTGTCAATAATATAACTAAGTTATTTGCATACAGTTAAAAATGTGATTGGTTGCAAAATGTCTGTTACTACTTTTCTATAAAACTGTAATATTTCAAACAATGATTTACTAGCACCCTCCTATGTTTAACAGGAATTTTGGTAGGTATCTTCAAACACTGTGAAATGAACTGTTAGGTATGTATGATTTTACCAGTTTTAAATCCATGATTTGTTACTTTATACAAGTAACTGTTTCTCTCTTTTATTCATTAGTAGTCTTCTTTTTATTATTGATGAGTGTTATTGCAGTGACCTCTAGGTGATTAAAATGGCTGAAACTACTGCTGAACTAAAGGATTCAAAACTTTTATTAAACACAGAGTATTTTGATTCAAGAAATGCAGTAACATCAGTCTAATGTCAATGTTTCAATCACTTACAAGGCAAAGTTAATAGTTTGAAGCATGCACAGGAGTAACACTAATAAACAGTACAAATCAGACTTTTAGAGAAAAAATCATCTTTAAAACTATGGTAATAGAACCACTATTGAAAAATAAATAATTTTTCAACTGAGCTGTTTAAGTCCTTTGGATATTAATGAACGGTTCAGCTTTTTATATATATTTTTAATACCCTTCTTTTATTATCTTAAAATGTTTAAGTTATTTCTTTCTTTGCTGTGTAAAGTTGTTCTATATTTCTAATAATTTTTATTACTGTTTTTTAAGCACCAGCTTTATTATAATGTTTTACTATTTTGTTTAATTCTCATAGTTCTATCTCACATTACATTCTGTTTTGTGTATTATTTTATTTTAAAATTTTCCTGTAATTGTCATTAACTGACAGACTTGTTTCTGGCTTGAAAAAGAGCATTTGCTCGAAATGTCACCAAGTTAATAAATTATTACCATAGTTTTTAAAAATAATTTTTTCACTCTAAATTCGTAATTTATTTTGTTTTAACACCTTCATATTTTTCTACTTATTTATTAATAAACAGAACATACACACACATTCCATCAGTCTCAATGTGACATCATTCATAGAGGGTGTCCAAAAAACGTCAGAAAAACTAGTTCTACACTTAAAAATTTCATTATCAGATGCAACATTATCATTGCAACACCATACCTGAATGTTGTATTAGTATTTTCTTGGTCAACCATTGATATTTAAGTCACTCACACACATTATTGTACCACATACAGTTTGGGTGATCCTTCTTGTCAATAAAGTACATCTTGATACAGGTAATTATTCAGCTTTACATAAATTTCACTCATTTCATTTTTGATTAGAGTGTACTATCTTCAGGTTCGGGAGAGCAGTCAAGACAATAAAAAATTCACACACAAGTTGCCTACTCATTCTGATTCAGACAACCTGTTCCAGGTGAGGCTAGCATGGAGCTGCCCTTGCCAATTTTCAGCTGGCTATTGTTAGACATGCAAGAAACAGTGACAGAAAAAGCAAAAAACCCTGACTGATAGAGACTGAATTGTGTGAGGTGAAAGTACTCCTGCTAAAACATAGACATGAATAAATAAAAATAGGGTATATAGCATGCATGGTATGCCAGTTTATGCATATAGGTGGAATTTTTATGAGATATGCTTTGTTTTTGCATTAATTTGATCTCTGTCACCATACACAGCGTGGTCACAAGTAAATAGACACCACCCTTTCAGAAAAAATGAAATATTCACATGAATTGATATACTTATAATTTAATTACTATCTAGTACATCTTCCTTTCGCTTCGTTGATCCTTTGGGGCATTGTAGAATCATCTCGTCAATTTTAGAT